TCAGGCTCAGGTTGTGGCACACGGGCTTAGTTGCTCCGCGGCATGTGGGATCTTCCCGGACCGGGGCTCAAACATGTGTCCCCTGCATTGGCAGGCAGATTCTTAACCACTGCACCAACAGGGAAGCCCCCTCAGCTTTTTTTTTTTAAATTTATTTATTTAATTAATTTATTTTTGGTAGCGTTGGGTTTTTGTTGCTGCACATGGGTTTTCTCTAGTTTTGGGGAGCAGGGGCTACTCTTCGTTGCGGTGCTCAGGCTTCTCATTGCGGTGGCTTTTCTTGTTGTGGAGCACAGGCTCTAGGTGCGTGGGCTTCAGTAGTTGTGGCACATGGGCTTAGTTGCTCTGCGGCATGTGGGATCTTCCTGGACCAGGACTCGAACCCGTGTCCCCTGCATTGGCAGGCGGATTCTTAATCACTGCGCCACCAGGGAAGTCCCCCCTCATTAGCTATTAATGCTCTTAAATTTAAACGCCTTCATCCAGATTTTTTTTTTTGTCCTTAGTGGGAGGATCGTTTGAATAACCTGACCTACTATTACTAGAAGCAAAAGACCTTTTGCTTTTATTTTATTCTATTTTTACCATCTTGTTATGGAACATGTAAAACCTACACAAAAGTAAAGAGAGAAGCAGAATGAACTCTCTTGTACTCATCAATCAGCTTCAACAATGATCAACTTTCTTAATTTCTTGTTTTATTTACTCACCTCTGCTGGCTCTTTCTTTCTTTGTTGAATATTTTAAGTCAAAAGACAGAAAAATATAATTTTAATTGAAAATACTTTGGTGTGAGTGTTTATCTGTTAAGGAGTTAAATATATATATATTTTAAATATATATATGTACAATAAAAATACATCTATAGTATCTTATCATACCCAACAAAATTAACGATAATTTCTTACTATCATATAGTACCAATCTTATGTTCAGTTTTCCTCAGTTGTCTCCAAAATGTTTTTTTACAGATTGTTCAAATTGGGGTCTAAAGAAGGCTCAAACATTGCATTTGATTGATGAATTTAACTACATTTAGATCTATACATGCCTTCACTCCTTTTTTTCCCCCCATGGCATTTATTTTTGGAAGAAAGTGGATCATTTGTCCTGTAGACTTTCTCACATTTGGGAGCAGGCTGATTGTATCCTCATGGTGTCATTTAACATGTATCTCTAACTCAGTGGTGCTTACCTGGGGGTGATTTTGCCACCTAGGGAATATTTGGCAATGTCTGGACATTTTTCGTTGTCATGACTGCAGGGATGCTACTGATATCTAGTAAGTTGAGGCCAGGGATGTTACTAAATATCCTATAATGCACAGAATAGCTCTACCCAACAAAGGATTATGTGGTCCAAAATGTCAATAGTACGGGCATTGAGAAAGTGCCTAATCTTTGATTTTCTCTAAAATGGCAATTAGATCTAGATCTAGATCTAGATTAGAGGTTTTATTAGATCTAGAGGTTTTATCTAGATTAGATCTAGAGGTTTTATCAGATTTAAGTTCAGTTTTAGGGAGAGGATAGAATTCTTCACGGGTGGACTTGTGTTGTATATCCTAGGATATCATGTAAGAAATCAATAATCTCACATTTTTTTTTTTTTTTTTTTTTTTTTTGCGGTATGCGGGCCTCTCACTGTTGTGGCCTCTCCCGTTGCGGAGCACAGGCTCCAGACGCGCAGGCTCGGCGGCCATGGCTCACGGGCCCAGCCGCTCCGCGGCATGTGGGATCTTCCCAGACCGGGGCACGAACCCGCATCCCCTGCATCGGCAGGCGGACTCTCAACCACTGCGCCACCAGGGAAGCCCAATAATCTCACATTTTTAGTGATGTGCAGATTGAGAAACACATTTAGGTATTGTCAGCCTGATCCATCCATTATAAAGTTTCTAATTAACTTTTCATCGAATAGTTTTATCATGCATTGGTGGCTGCTTAAGCCCATTATTTCTTCAAAGGTTGCAAAATGGTGACTCTTCTAATTCTGTTATTTGTTCTATTATTAGCTGCAATTCTTCTATACAGAAAAGCATTGCCTTATCAACTACTTACCCTGAAATACAGTCCATACTGGAAAGGCAGGATGAATGCATGATTCTTTCCCTTTCTCAATTCTCAGAATGCCATAGCTGCTTATAAATATGTTTAAAATAGTCTTTATAAGTGCTTTTGGAAAAACCAGCTTGCTACCACCCTCTGAGGAGCGAAACAAGAAATGAGTGTTACTACACAGACACTGTTACATCAGGCACTTGGTTTTAAATGAATCCACAAGGTGGGTTGGGATGAGACAGGGATCTAGGGGGCAGCAGAGACCGCCAGCTGCTGGAGTCAGAACACCTTTGCTTTGATAACCTTTAAAAATTCCTTGCCACTGACGGTTGCTGCTTGCAGCTCTAATTTCAGCTAGATAGAATCTCAGCTGATCTGAGAAACCACATCCCTGCCATGGCTGCAGGGAGGAGCTGGGCTCTCTCTGGACCTCCTGGCCCTTGCTACCTGCTGCGTAAAGAGTCTCACCTCCCACTAGCAACGGGAACCTGTCAGTCCCTGCGGGTGGGGTCTGTGACAAGAAAGCAGCCTCCACCAAGTTCAACTCCAGCGTTCATTCTGCGTGTTTCCAAGTGATCATTTGTCTCTTTAAACTGTGTCAGTATGGTATCCTGGAGAAGACCATGGGCTTTTAGGTAAGACAAACCTGCTGCCAAGTCCTGGTTCTGCTATTTATGAACTGTGTGATGAAACTCAGCTTCCACATCTGTAAAACGTGGTGGATGAGAGTTGCTACTGCACAGGGTTGTTGCTGCTGAAACAGAGGATGATGGAAGTAAAGGGTCAGTCAGGGCCCTGACGTGCAGGGCAGTGCTTTGCAGTGTGCGCGCGTGAGTGCGCAGTAACCGCGAAGGAGAGCCCCTCATCTTCCTCTGGCACGGCTTGTCCCAGCTCCAGGGCTGATGGCTGTGTTCAGCTTGCCCAGGAGCCGGTCACCTCCGGACAAGTGTAGCTTGGTTGAGCGCATAGTGGAGCTGTGCTCTGTGCCCCCCATGTCCTCTGTGTCCGGTGAGCAAAGGAAGACCTGGGAGAAAAGTGACTTCTCCAGATCACCATGAGGATGGGACAGGGCGGAGGATGGAATCCACTACAGACTCTTGGTCTAGGGCTCTTATTGGCTGCATTTATATTACTATTTTGTCTAGATCCCCCTAGCCCTTCCCTAACCCCTTCTTACGCTGTCTTGGTTTAAGTCATACTTGCAAACCTTTTCAGAGAATTATGCATAAAATAAGAGCCCTCAGGATACATGTGTACTGAAATTGCTATAATTTTACCTATCCTGGGCTTAATTATACTCTATCTTTTGCTAATCCAAGGATGCAAGATACAAAGCCTGAATATAACTTGTATGTTTAGCTAGTTATTCATTCATCAAACATGTATTGAATATCTGATATGTGCTAGGTACTGGGCCACAGGAAAGGAGTTTGAGATAATGGGGTGGGGGAAGGGTGAATGGAGACATAGGGATGAAAAATGAAGTCCGTGCATGCAAGGAATTTTAACTCTAATGGGAGGAGTGGAGGAAATTCAGAACCAAGAAGCAAACCGATGATTACAATTCAGTGTAATGCACAGGATGGCCTTTACCTTGGGAGCCCTTCTGGAAAATTGATACTTGAATGTAATCTAGAAAGATGGGTCATGGCAAAGCAGGGAGAGAACAGAGTGACTGTCATTTCAGTTAGAGGGAGCATGGGGGGTTGTAAAAAGGCATGGTAGGTTTGAGGGAGTTTCCCATAGCTCTGTACGGAGGAAGCATGGGTAGAGAGGGCTGCTGTGGTAATGGGGCTGGGGTAGAAGCCAGGTGGTGAGAGCCATGATGCCATGGCAAGGAGTTGGGACGTCATCTTTAAGCCAAGATGAGGGGCATTGAAATACTTAAAGTAACAATCAGACTGGAGATTGGAGAAATTTGGAAGACTATCGCCCTGATCCAGGCTAGAAGGGATAAAGGATTGTACTTAAGGGGCTTCCCTGGTGGTCCAGTGGTTAAGACTCTGTGCTCCCAATGCAGGGAGCCCCGCCCTGGGTTCGATCCCTGGTCGGGGAACTAAGATCCCACATACTTCAACTAAGCCCACAGACCGCAACCACTGAGCCCGCAGACCCTAGAGCCCGCATGCTGCAACTAAGAGTCCGCGAGCTGCAGCGAAGACCCAGCGCAGCCAAAATAAACAAACTAATTAATTAATTAATTTTAAAAAAAGAATTGTACTTAAGCTGTGGCTGTGGGCATGGAGAAGAAGGAAGTAACTCAGGGGACATTTAGGAGAAAGACTGGATAGGACATGTGTTCAAACAGTAACCATGGGAAGGATCTACCTCGACATTTTGGAATCAACCTTGAGAAATTGCTATGATGTGCCCAAGTTACCACTTGGTTTTTCACAGGTTCAGCTTGGGGCACTCCTCTAAAGTTTGCTGGAAATTGGAAGTCTGATAAACACCTATGAAGATTTTTTTTTTCTTCCTTTGCCTCTCCTTTGAAAAACCCAGTGGAAAATTCAGTGTTTTCTTTGTCCTAGTGATGGGGATGGGGGGAGATGAGAAACGTGGCTATTTCCAGTACAGCCTATGGCCTGCAAGGGAAAAATGATTGATGGACTGTGAGTACCTTCCTTCCATCCAATTTCATGCCAAACTCTGCTGTGGCACCAGGGTCATAAGATTTGAGGCTCCTTGCACAAAATTCCCAGCCCATAAATATCTCCCTATCTGCCTGCTATGGGAACATTTTTTCTGTTAATGTCCAAAATTAGATTAATTATAATCCTTGATTTAGGACACAAGCTCATCATTAGTCCATGCATGGCTTTCTTTCATTTCTTGTTCATAATATAATGAACTCCTACGTATCCACCACCCACCTGAGAATGAAGACATTACCTGAAATGTATACCTCTCTTCTGCTCCTCTCCCACCCCATCTCCCTCCTCTTCAAGATGGAAGGAGAAACCCTTCTGATCTTTGTGTTTATCTTTCCTTTTTCGGTGTGTTTTATTTTGTATATTTTTGTGTATGGGTTTTTCTTCCCCACATTCAAAAATTGACCCACTAAAATGAGGACATTTGAACTTGGAGAAGAGCAAATACAAAATCCTTCGGAAGAGTCTGGCATCTTCGTAAATATATTTATTTTTTAAAAATAAACTTACTTATTTATTTTTATTTTTGCCTGCGTTGGGTCTTTGTTGCTGCGCGTGGGCTTTCTCTAGTTGTGGCGAGAGGGGGCTACTCTTTGTTGCGGTGCGTGGGCTTCTCATTGCGGTGGCTTCTCTTGTTGTGGAACACATTCTCTGGGTGCGCGGGCTTCAGTAGTTGTGGCACATGGGCTCACTAGTTGTGGCTCACGAGCTCTAGAGCTCAGGCTCAGTAGTTGCGGCACACGGGCTTAGTTGCTCCGCGGCATGTGGGATCTCTCCGGACCAGGGCTCAAACCTGCATCCCCTGCATTGGCAGATGGATTCTTAACCACTGCTCCACCAGGGAAGCACTTAAATATGTTTCTTATTAAAAACCTAATTTGCAGGCTTCCCTGGTGGCGCAGTGGTTGAGAGTCTGCCTGCCGATGCAGGGGACACGGGTTCGTGCCCCGGTCCGGGAAGATCCCACATGCCGTGGAGTGGCTGGGCCCATGAGCCACGGCCACTGAGCCTGCGTGTCCGGAGCCTGTGCTCCGTAACGGGAGAGGCCACAACAGTGAGAGGCCCGCGTACCGCAAAAAAAAAAACCAAACACCTCACAACCCCCCCTCAAAAAAAAACAACAAAAAAGAACCCCTAATTTGCTTTACAAAAAAAAAATCTTTGAGTGAAATTGAGAGTCCAAAAAAAAAGATATGTTTGTGCTCTAGTATGTCACCAAGCACCCTGGAGGGCAGACGGCCCCGGTTAGAGAGGCACTTCTGACTTCCGTGACTGCTGGTAAAGTGGGCTCTGACAGCCTGAGAGCAGTGCATCCTTCCAACAGAGGGACACAGGGAGGGGCTGCCGGCAGGTGACGCTCATCAGAGCCTTGGTGCATAGAATGGTGATGGGCTCCAAGCGGTACGGACAGAGCATGGACTTCATGGATACAGCAGCTTACTCCTTAACCTGGTCAATGACATACGACTCATGTGGCCTGGCTCCAAAAGGGGAGCTGGGCCAGTTAGATTCTCTCTTGGGAAACTGGACTGAAACACAGAAGGAATGATTTGCTAGTTAGTGGTGGGAGTTTCACTTACTTGACAAGAGAGAGAGCTGGAGCTGGAGAGGACATGATGGGCCGTGGGAAACTCAGAGTTGTACTGGAGCAAAAATGATGAGCAGTCCAGGGAGGCCAGCTGATAGCCAGACAGAATTAGGTGGTTGACCAGAACAGAGGCTTGCTAACAGGAGGGCAGTGGTGGAAGGAGCCACAAGTCCTGATACTGAGGCTGGGGGAGCTATGAGTATCCAACATTCAGCAGAATTCAACTTCTGATCTCAGAAAGCCTGGTACCATCAAGACTCTGGTTCTTAGATTTCCTGTTCTCAGGTGTCCATAACCCTGTTTAATCCAACTTTCCACTTTCTATTCTATGCCTGCACCTTCACCTGTACCTGCACAGCCAAACATGACTGGAATAAAGAATACAATCAAACTGTCGTGGTTTAAATATATGCTCACAAATTCTTTGATATCCCTCCCTTGAAGAGGTGGAGGCTAATTCCCTCCTTTTACGAGTGGGCTGGACTGGGCTTCCCTGGTGGCACAGTGGTTAAGAATCCTCCTGCCAATGCAGGGGACACGGGTTCGAGCCCTGGTCGAGGAAGATCCCACATGCCGCGGAGCAACTCAGCCCACGTGCCGCACAACTACTGCAGCCCGTGCGCCTCGAGCCCGTGCTCCGCAACAAGAGAAGTCACCACAATGAGAAGCCCGCACACCGCGATGAATAGCCCTGGCTCGCCACAACCAGAGAAAAGCCTGCGTGCAGCAACGAAGACCCGAAACAGCCAAAAATAAATAAATAAAATAAATTTATTAAGAAAAAGTGTGGGCTGGACTTAGTAGCCTTGCTTCTAATGAGTAGAATAAATCAGGAGCGACAGTGTGCGATTTCAGGATCTAGGCTGTAAAAGGTGCTACGATTTCCTCTTTGGTCTCTTGGATTGCTTGCACTGGAGGAAGTCAGCTGCCATGTCATGAGGACACTCAAGCAGCCTATGGAGAGCCCCACAAAGTAAGAAACTGAGGCCTCCTGCCAACGGCCATGTGAGTGCACCATCTTGGAAGTGGATCCTCCCACCCCAGTCAAGCCTTCAGTTGACTGCAGCTCCAGTCAACATCTTAACTGCAGCCTCAAGAAAGAGTCTGAAGCCAGAACCACACAGCTAAGCTATTCTTGACTTCCTTACCCACAGAAATGGTAAGATAATAAATATTTGTTGTTCTAGGCCACTAAGTTTGGGATAATTTGTTAGCAGCAATAGGTAACTAATATACAGGCTGATTTGTCTCACATTCAGTTGCTGATCACTGACTCCACTGTGCTGTTAGTGCTGCCTGGCAACCATACTGTTATGCCTCCATCCTTTCATTCTCCCATTCTCTTTCATCCCTTCCCTCTTTCAAATCTCCAACACCTCCACCCCATTCTCACTCTCAACTAATGTCCTTAATTCCTATTTCCATGAGTAAAAATTAAAGCAGTCAGAAGGGAACTTTCCAGGGTCCCACTGTCATATCTACACTCACATCTGTTCTGCCTTCTCTCCTGTGACTAGGGATGGACTCTCTGTACGACTAGCTAAGGCCAATCTCTTCCCCTGGGTTCTAGATCTGATCCTTTCTTGCCCACTCAAGGACGTCCCTCATGAAATTCTTTCCCCCTCTCTGTTTCTGGAAGGAGAGAGCATTGATCTGTGACTAATTGCTACTCATAGGTCAAGTAAGATGAGGACAGAGAAATAACCATTGGTTTTAGCAACATCATGGTCATGAGGTTCATTGCCACAGTGGTTTATCCTGAAAATCTGACTGGAGGGATACTAAAAGAGCCTGGGAGGGGAGAATTAGGCACAGTGAATGGATATACCCCTTTGTGAAATTCTGTTGTAAAAAGAAAGGGAGAAATGGATCAGGGATATGGGTTCAAGAAAGGTTAGAGGAGAAATTAAAGGAAGGTTGTATGCTGAGGGAAATGACCTTGTAGAGAAGGAGAAAACTGACGATGCAGGTACATCCATGGCCACCTGGCAGCAGGGACAGAGGGCAAGGGAGTGTGTGACATAGTGACATCCCCAAAGAAACAACCTCAAAAACAGTTACTAAGCTCCAGCAGTTACCCATGGCGCTCGGTCAAGTTTGCCATGTGAGTAACTTTGGGTTAGCCTGACAGTACAATCTACCCATAGACTTGCTGTGACTCTCTAATGGGTCATGGACTTGAAAGCGCTACCTTTATTCAAACTAAGTTTTAACATTAGTCACACTGGGTCCGCAGGGTCTGGGTTGGCCACTGGGGGGCAGTCTCAGCTAGTCTCCTAGCTGGGCTTGAGTGGATCCACCCTTTCCTGCCAGGGATGAGAGACTGGGGTGGTGTGCGATCCCACAGACCTGGGGAGGGATGAGCCCACACATCTGGCCTTCCCAGCCTTCTGTTTTCTCAGGGCTGGTTAGAGTTCAGTCTTACAGCTCTGGCACTCTTTGGAGTGATGGGATACTTCCTGTCCTGGGCAGATGGGGAACCCATCTCTTACTTAGAGACGACAAATGAACGCGTGGATCACAGCAGGCCATCTTCTCTGTAATACTATTTTCTTTTATTTAAAATTTTTAATTGAGATATAATTTACATAATCAAAACTCACCATTTTAAAGTATACAATTCTGTGATTTTTTTAACTTATATTCACTATGTTGTGCAACCATCACTGCTTATCTAATTCCAGAAAATTTCCATCACCCCGAAAAGAAACCCCATACCTATTTGTAGTCAGTCCCCGTTCCCCTCTCTGCTCAGTTTCTGGCAACCGATAATCTACTCTGTTTCTGTGGACTTGCCTATTCCGGATATTTCATATAACTAGAAGCATACAACTTGTGGCTTTCTGTGACTGGCTTCTTTCACTTAGCATAATATTTTCAAGGGTCATCCACGTTGTAGCATATGTCAGGATTTCATTCCTTTTTATGGCTGAATAATATTCAGTTGCATGGCTATACTACATTTTGTTGGTCTATTCATGCGTTGACGGACATTGGGCTGTTTCCACTTTCTGGCTACTGTGAATAATGTCTTATGAGCATCGGAGAGGTTTTTGTGTGGACTTAAGTTTTCAAGTCTGTTTCAAATCCCTGGAGTGGAATGTTACTAGAATTTACCCTGTCGCTCTGTGTTTAGCAGTTTGAGGAACGGCCAAACTATTTTCCAAAGTGCCTGTATATTTTCCACTTCCACCAGCAATGTATGAGAACTCTGTAATCCTCCTGACACTGGATTCACCCCATGCTTGCCTTAGAATTCTGAAATGGGAAGGCCCAGGAGAGAGACTGAAGTTAAGGTTCTGCATGGCAAAGAGCTTTGCAGACTTTGTCTGAAAAGCACACTTGGGCTTTGGGGTGATTTGTCTTCCTTGCTGAGGGCACAATGCAGCCTTGTCCTTCTGGCCAAGAGGAGCTGCTGTGGATAAGCTGAGTGCTCTGTCTGAGCCGCATTCACCAACGCTGTTTGCCAAGAAGAGTTCTTACTAGTCGGTGCCGGCAGGTGTGTCTCTGCCCGGCCTCATCGGCCTCTGTTGTGGATCCTGGGCTTCCTGGGTGGAGCTGGCAGTGGCTCTTGTGGGGTATCTGAGGTGTGAGGCTGGGGAGCTGTCTGTTCAGGTTGACAGGGCCAGCGGGAGCCCAGCTGGGTAACGGGGAGACGTTGGCTGTCAGCTCAGGTGGGGCTGGTGAGCAGAGATGGCTCCTGGCTCGGAAAATGAGGGTTCTCTTCCCAGCAGCTCAGACCTGTCTCCCTAGAAGAGGATGAATTTGTTCATGCAGCATCTGGACGTGACAAGGGAGGTGATTTAGTCAGGTGGGCTGGGAAAGAGATTGCTAACCCCAAAGGAGACCCTTATGCAGAAGGAAAATTACCAGCTGTGCTTTTACTCTGCGATTAGAGGGAGAAGGGCTTGTTCATTTCTGTCATTCTAAAGGGAGTGTTTCCGGGAGGCTCGGGGAGAAACGGAAGCTGGGAAAAAAATCCCATGAGATCCCTGCCTGCAGATGCTGGGTCCACTATACCTGGTATGTATCTATCCAGCCACGGGGCATCTTATACCTGTGGGTGTTTATTCATTCACTGCCTTCTCCTTTTCTGTCTGTTGTCAAATCTCCCTCTGCCTCTGTCTCATGAGGACCCTTGTGATTGCATTTAGGGCTACAATAATCTCCCCATTTCAAGATCCTTAATCACCACTGCCAAGATCGTTTTTCCAGATAAGGTATGTACTATTCACAGGTTCCAGAGTTTGGGACTCAGTATCTCTGGAGGACCATTTTTCAGCCACTCCCCCTCCCAGTTTCAAAAATCACTGATATTCCAGATCCTTAGGGTAAACCAGGCCTCGGAAATTGGAACCCTGAGAAAAGCGATTAATGCAAGGTCCCAGAGCCCACTTCCCTTCTGAGATTAGAACCCACAACTCTTATTCCCCAGGCCTTCTCTTTCTGGTCCTGGTTCCTAAGAATAACGATGACTGGCACTTCCTGAGTGTTTCTTATGTACTATTCTAAGCAAATTCCTTGTACTATCTCCTCACCCTTCCAAACAACCCTATAAGGTAGGGCCTACTATTACCTTTCGTTTTACAGGTGAGAAAATTAAGGGGATGAGAGGTTAACTAACTTGCCCAAGGTGACAGAGCTAATTACTGGTGCTGTTGGGCTAGATACCCAGGCAAAGGCCAAAGCCTTCACTTGTAGGAGGGACACCTTTGCTTGGGGTTACTCTGATCCACTCCATGAATCACCCTTCTCTGATATTTTTGTCCTTCTAGCAAATATGGAACTAAACTTTTCTGGAAGGAAAGGAGACCCCTCTAACCCCTTGCCCTCCTGCTGAGAACCAATTCCTTGGAAAATACTGGCCTCAAGCTGCCCAATAGGCCTTCTCATCTCAGCTGATGGGACCAATGGGAAGTAAGCAGGGTCTTGCAATGAGATGGGGATGGATGGCTGTGATGCTAATGGATTTCTTAGGCTAATGGCCTGGGAGGGGCCCTGGAAGTTTCCCAGCCTCCAAATTGTCTGCTGAAAGCAGAAGGGGAGGGTGGGGCAGATTTATTTGCACCTTGGGTACATATCTGTTCCTGGCTGTGACTCATTTCCCTCTGGAGCAAGGCCTCAGGTGAGATGTTTACCTGTTCCACCTCCCCTTCATACTGCCTTACAGCTCCCCTCCCTGTGGGGCGGATCTCTGACAGCACAGAGCAGCTCTGCCCTTCTGTCTACCCCACAGAGCCCTCGACCGTGGCAGCGCCGGCGGCTAGAGTATCCAAGCAGCAGGCGGCAGCTGAAGGTCTTGGCTCCAGCCAGAAAGCCTTGAAGTACTTGGGCCAGGACTTTGAGACCCTGAGGCAGAAGTGCTTGGACTCAGGGGTCCTAGTGAAGGATCCAGAGTTCCCAGCGTGCCCACCAGCCTTGGGCTACAAGGATCTTGGACCATGCTCCCTCCAAACTCAAGGCATTGTTTGGAAGTGGCCCATGGTAAGGAGATGGGTTTGCTGTTGAGTGTCAGGATGAAGGGCCCTCGCTTCTGGTCAAAAGTAGCTGAGGGAGAAGTTATGGTTCTTGGCCCTGTGTTCCTGTATCCCGTATTTCAGCCTACCCCCACCCCTCCACTTTAAAAAACACCTTTTCAGAGGTGATAAAGTATAGAGGGAAGAGCATGCACTGGCTTTGGAACCAGACAAGTTAGATTTGAATCCTGCCTCTGCCTGTGTGGTCTTGGACAGATAATTGCTGTGATCCTCAGTTTTTTCATCTGTAAAATGGTGCTACTGGCATCTTATTTTTCAGTGTTGGTACAAGGACTGGAGATAAAGGTCAGAGCACAGTGCTTGGCACATAACAGGCACAGAAGGCATGGTAGCTATTGCATAGGACCCCTGGGCCAGTGCAAGATGGAAAAAACCAATGCTAGAAGTAATCAGTCCTGGGTTACATTGCGACGTCGTTGCTGAAGTGTGCAGGGTTGTGAATTGTCATTGTTCTATTGAGGCTAAGGAGTGGAGAGGTGGGGCTGGGGGTCTGTGAATACAGATGGGAGTCAGGGGCTCTGGGATGCTGTCACTGATTACCGCCCCCCCCCCCGCCAGATCTCAAGGGCAAGGGATGTAGAACCATCCCCCCAAAACCTGGGCCCATGACCTACTGCTCTGTGACCCTTGTCAGTGATTTAACCTCAAGGATAGGAGCCCCCACACACAGAGTGGTTGTGAGAATTGAGATAATCCTTTGAAGTGCTCTGCTCAGTGCCTGGCCCACAAGTCTCATAAGAGAACACGTTTTGTGGCCCTTGGCCAGGGGGCCGTTTGTCTTCTAGACCGTGATGGGAAAATCAAGCCATGGTCCTTATTTTCTTGGCAACGGTTGAAGAGGGAGGATAAGGAGAGAATAACTCCTTGGATGTGGTCAAAACCACCCTTTAATTCCAGCTGTCTCTACCCCTTCTGTTTTCATCCTATCAATTTTACACAACAGTTACCACCTCTGAGCATAACTCCTTTGCCCTTATTCCCTCCAGCCCCCCATAGCCATCTTCCATGACCCTCTGGAACCTATATGGGAGCTCTGGGATGTTGGCAAAATCAAGGTTGGGAACCATGGTTTTATATTCTTTTTTTTTTTTTTTTTGTTTTTTTTGCGGTACGCGGGCCTCTCACTGTTGTGGCCTCTCCCGTTGCGGAGCACAGGCTCCGGACGCGCAGGCTCAGCGGCCATGGCTCACGCTCCGCGGGGATCTTCCCGGACCGGGGCACGAACCCGCGTCCCCTGCATCGGCAGGCGGACTCCCAACCACTGCGCCACCAGGGAAGCCCCATGGTTTTATATTCTGATGTCAAGAGTTGGCAGCCACATTTCATTTCAACAGGCCTCTGTTCTGGGCCAGGCATTGGATATGCCCTGTTTAGAAAGGTGGTCGGGGAGAAACTGAGGAATGAGCTGGGATCTCAGCTCTGAGGGAGATTGTGGGGAGGCAGACACATGAATAAAGGACCGACATCCTGGGCGGGATGAAGGAAGTGCTAACAGAGGCATCAACCACAGGCATGGCGATGTGGGCTGTTAGGACTGAATGATGGAAAGACTTAGGGGAGGAGGATACATTCGAGTGGAATTGAAGGACCCCAGGGAGCTTGGGGGAGGGGAGATGGACATGGGGGGAGGGGAGAGATTTCACTCTGTGACCAAAGTCAGGTATCTTTAGCCTTTGCCTAGTTTTTCTCTTTCATTCGAAATCTTAAAGCCCTCACCTCCTCAACCACATTTCACGTTCTGCCCTAAACTGGTCTCACTGTCCACGTAAACGTGGTAATTTCAGACTGGAATGCTGATTTGTGCCTGTCAACAAAATGCTATAAAAGCCAGACCGTGAGGTCGTAGAGCCTGATTAATGTGGAACTGAGGTACTCCCATTATTGGGAGTTTTCAGATGAATAAATAAAAGCTTGTCAGGGCTTCCCTGGTGGCGCAGTGCTTGAGGGTCCGCCTGCCGTTGCAGGAGACGCGGGTTCGTGCCCCGTTTCGGGAAGATCCCACATGCCGCGGAGCGGCTGGGCCCGTGAGCCATGGCCGCTGGGCCTGCGCGTCCGGAGCCTGTGCTCCGCAAATGGGAGAGGCCACAACAGTGAGAAAAAAAAAAAAAAAAAAAAGCTTGTCAGAATGTGTCCTCTCCATCCCCAGTCATCAGTGAAGGATTCTCACTCAGCTGCTTTTGACCAGGCTGTGTTCACACATCACACGATACATTATAGGACCCAGTTTTATCCTCTAAGATCTTACAGATTATTGAATAGACTCCTGAGTTTGTAACCATCCTGATTCTATCTCTATTGGGGATGTGCCTTGGAATCTGGGAAAACTCAGCCTGTTCCTAAATGGTTCATTTCTTTCTTCCCTTGAAGTCTCTCAGGGGCCTGCAGGAAGGTTGGGGTGTCCAGAAATGAGGTGCACCAATGAGTTCATTTGCTCTTCTTTCCTCCCCTTCCCCCTCCCCCTCCCCCTCCCTTCCCACTTCCTCCCTCCCTCCCCCCTTCCCC